AAAAAAAAAAATGTAACAAGATTGTGTATGTGGGAGAAATTGGTGGGACTTTATACCAAAGACGTGTTAAATCTCCCACTCATTAGAAGAGAAACCAATGACCCGTGGCTCCCCTTTTTTACTCCGAATTTCACACATTAAATGATTACAGCATTATAGGTATTGAAAAACTGTACAATAATGACATTTATCGGAAATATAGAGAGGATCTATAGAAGAAAAAGTAAAATACTTGTATACCATTTGGTATAAACAAAAGGGAGCACTATTGTCCTTAAATAATATTAATGAGCAGTTTTGCATGTGTGTCCATTCTATTTCACTTTTCATGTTTATGTTTATATGTAGTAATTTACTTTACACCGTTTAGAGTCTATTTTAAATATGTATGATCTGATTACTTAATTATTGTAACTCTCACAATCTTTTCAGATGTTTCTCGCGCAATTTTGATTTATGACTTTCCCTTTCTATTGTATGTATATTGTGCCGTCACAGGACATTGTTCAACGTTAGTTGCAATGCAGTTAAATAAATGTCCAGGAGTAAAGATGATTTTTAATCATTGCATTCATATTGATGATTTTAGCCCCATCCCTAAGGCCCTAGGGGGGCAGGAGCCATGAATTTTATTATTTTTACTCCACTACACCAATAGATGCTATATGCCAAAATTGGTTGAAATTGGTTCAGCGGTTTCAGAGACGGAGCTGAAAATGTTTAAATGTTAACGCACGACGGACGACTCACGCCGACGGACGAAAACAGATTGCAATATATTGGTCACCTGAGTAAACTCGTGTGACCTAGCAAAACGAAAGGTTCATAAGTTCTCTGGGAAAAGAACTTGGTCATGTGATCAAATAAGGTGGATCCCAAGGGGCTTCTCGGTAGATTTGATCTCGTACCAACCAAGTTTATCTCCCAGTAATATGAAATTGTAAATGAATAACAAACCTTCAAGGCAAAAAATAAAACAGTTTATATGTATACAACAAATTACATACTAGAATTCTGATCAAATCAGAAAATGCTAGGTTTTACGGAAATAGGAAGATATAGGCGACATGAAAATGAAAACAGAGAAATTAGAGGCAAAAAGGAGCCAATATACTTATGTAATTATGAACATTATATCAAATTTTTGAGAAGCACTATATCATCAGGAAGTTTAATTGACCCAAAGAGACTTGTGAAAGATCCTGCACTTTTCGAAGATGGATCATCTAAAAGCACCATCTGCGACACAATTGTTCAGTAGTATTAACTGGTTACGGATTTGAGGGATTCCAAATCATGTAAGAGTAAAATGGTTAGAGAGGGCCAGAAGGGAGGGTAGTAGTATCTTTTTGTTCGGAGAGATGAGTTGATGACAACGTCTGGGGAAAAAAGTTTTTCATGCGCGATCTCAGAGGGTATGTGCTTGGACATTCGTTTCGCTCTAACCAAGACCTGCAAGTTGTGCGAGAGCATTGCTGTTGACTGTAAAGGGTTCCTGATACGCTCTCACCTTACGCGATTGTATGTTGTTTTACGGCCCATTCGAGAATTTTTCACTCATATTGAGACGTCATCATATACAGATGAAGGGCTTCAAATTCTGACCTTAAACTCGGAACCTAGGGCAATTGATCAGTGAGGGATCTTTATCGTGCCACCGCCTGCCGTGACGAGGGGCCTCATTTTTTAAGGTCTCATCCGAAGGACCCACAACTTTCACTTCAAAGTACCTAGCGCATGGCGAAGGAACAGTTGTTACCCATTTTTATCGACTTAGGTCAGTCGCGGCCGAGATTCGAACTCACGACCTCCCGATCACGGAGCGAGCGCTCTACCGACTGAGCTACCGTGAACGCCAAATCGTATTCTAGATGTAAAATATAAATTCGAGACATTTTCGCATATTGAAGCCAGCATCTTGTAAGAATTAGATTTTATCTCAAAGTTTTTACCAATTAAAAGAATGATTTTTGGAGTATCTCCACATGTTTTTTTTTTTTTATGAATTAGGTCTTTTCAACGACTTAACAATTTTCCCCTTCGTTTCAGGATTTGGAACATCGCTTATGTCCATCTAGTTACCAAAGGCATCAAACTGTTTGACAGCGACTGCATTCCATACTCCAAAGACAGTCTCAGTTAATCTGAAATAATTAAGATTTCTCTGAATCCAGACCACAGTTTGGTGCAGATGAACCTCTTGTCAAGCCACGAGCCGGGGAATATGATTTTCAATGTAAAGCATACAAAGACTTGTCATGCGATCAGTACCAATGGCACTTAATTGGCAAAAATAAACAATTGAAAGATGAGTGCAGGATAGGTCTTTAAACGAACAATTATTACATACGTTTATCTGGTTCAAGGCTGGCAAAGGACGCGCAAAACTAAACACCTCAAACGAATTTAAGAGGACTGCTTATTATATTGATAAGGGTCCTAGAAGAATGCCTGACGCCTGTGCTGGCGATGAAAAAATCCATGTTTTAAATCCTCATGATAATGCTAAGGTAAATAATCCATTAGAATATGAATAACATCCAAATCAGTCATACCGTTCACGGTAGCTCAGTCGGTAGAGCGCCCACTCCGTGATCGGGAGGTCGTGAGTTCGAATCTCGGCCGCGACAGACCTAAGTCGATAAAAAATGGGTAGCAACTGTTCCTCCGCCATGCGCTCGGCACTTTGAAGTGAAAGTTGCGGGTCCTTCGGATGAGACCTTAAAAACCGAGGCCCCGTTTCACGGCAGGCGTTGGCACGATAAAGATCCCTCACTGCTCAATGGCCGTAAGTGCCGAGTAAAGGTCAAAATTTGAAGCCCTTCACCGGTATATGGTGACGTCTGTATATGAGTGAAAAATTCTCGAATGGGACGTAAAACAACATACACTCAATCAATCCAAATCAGTCATAAATTAACTTAAGACATCTAAGGCATTTTTTTGGAGAGTATCAAGGTGTTATAAACCCAAGAAATCTCAAAACCACCAGGCCATATCTGAATCCAATCAGACAATGAGTAAGGATGACATATACAATATGATGCAGCTCGCGTATCATTTCGAAGGCTTTGTTTTTGAGATTGCAGTATTTCCTGATTTAATTACCGTTTTCATGTTTGCCATCATAAACATGTTTGTAGAATCGCTAAAATGTAATACCCCACTAAGTCTAGTGTATGACACTACAATATGAACTACAATCAACTTGGGCGATTTTTACGTCTCTCCATTAATTTTTCTGGTATGTGTTTTGAATGGAAAGCCGTGGATACCGTTAACTTCTTTAATGCATGAAAGAAAACTACAAAAGTTTCACAACAGACTGTTTGAATTTTTATCAAAAAGAGTGCCTCTTTTAACGACCAACAGGAATCAATTCAGAAGAAAAAGGGAGCAAACCTTAACAAAAGCAATGCCAAGATACTTTCCACAAATGCAGGATTTCCACTGCTGGAACCATTTTAAGCGGGAATTAAAAAAAGGAACTTCGGAGCAGATCAGTCCGAAGCCTTTGTCCACCTTTCAGATTGGCGTCAAATGGTGCAAAGCGAGACAATTGAAAAATTTCATTCAAACTACAAAAAATTTGACAATATAGTGGTCTGCCAATGTTAAAGCATATTTTTACAGCCATTCGACAGAATTGTGGTCGCTTGCGCTTGCCTATCGAACAATTTCCTGGCCTGCACTGTGCCCTAATAAAAAAGTACTATAGTAAACTTCAGTTAACTATACTATCAAAGTTTTCACTATAGTAAATCAGTTTAATTACAGTTTATGAAAGCATTTTTAATATGAATTTCAGATAGTTACGTTTATTTATTTATTTATTTATTTTTTTTTTTCCTACATGCAATTTTCGTATATTAAAATTTAGGAATATATATCATGTACATTTACCTATTATTTCAAACAATTGCATCATATATTCTATCAAATATCAAGGCTCAATATCTTTTTAAAAAATTCTAAAGTTCCATAGTAAATCTAAGTACATGTATTTACTGTAGAAATTTTTCTCAGTGTGTACGACCCTTTCTCTGGTATAATAAACAATTCCTCGTAGAGCAGCAACGCTGTTCCAAAGAGGATGAATTGATGGCAGGAACTTCCTCTACACTGTATGGTGCCGAGTTTGCAAGATTAAAGATTTTCTAATTTTTTTTTTAGAAATCCAAAGAGGTCTTGCAGACCTAGAAAATTGAAATTTTCAGTCGAAATATAAGGAGGCAAGACTAAACAAAAAACGAATTAGTTATTCCGAACAAAGTTGTCGAACTCTACGTCGTCTTTTTTATCAGATGTTGTTTGACCCAACAAAATGCCAAAAAAAAAACACCTAATGTATATTTTCCTGTTCATAAACGCACATGCAAGTACGAACCAAAAAATACCGTCAAAGTGACTGTTATCATTTTCACAACGACAATTAAATGAACAATTTAACTTTCTTCGCCTAGATTAAAAAATGGTGAAGTCGATTTGTATGATACACTCATACAGACAAATTTTTAACTTATTTGTCATTTGTTATTTCCATTTTCAGTTGGAATTAAAAAGTATGAAATTACATTTGTATCTTTGTACTTTCGCTATGTAATAATTTTTTTTTTTATTTGGTTTAATGCCTCTGTAGTTTTAATGTATGACACTTGTTCAAGTCATAGTAAGATCATATTAAGATAAATCTTAGTCATTAAGAATGAGTGGAGGGAAGCACATTTTCTCTTAATATCCTCTTACCGACTTGGAAAATGAAATCAATGGTTAAAAAATAAACATGTCCAGTACAATTTGTACATATAGCAGTCTGATTAAAACCAGCCCCCCTTCTCCTTTCACTCGTCAGGGTCTGACAGGCATCGCAAGGAGGTCATCTTCACACGACCTCTACATTTGCATGCGATCAAAAAATATCAACCAATCATAAAAGTGCTTTTATCTGTTTTACGAGCGGGTATAGCTCTTCAAAATTGGAGGTAAACAAGAACACAAGCATGGCCACGTGCAGAGATATTGAAAACATTATCGGAAGCGTTCTCTCCAAGTTTAATATTAAGGAACTGAAAAAAGAACAGCGTCAGTTATTAGATTATCTTCTTAGAGGCGAAGATTGCGTGGCTGTTTTGCCAACTGGATATGGAAAATCACTACCATACCAAATCTTTGCACCTATATATCACCAACAAGGAGACGAGAAAGCTGTCGTTTTGGTGTGCTGTCCCCTCATTGCTCTTATGGAGGATAAGGTGCAGCGGATACAGAAGATTCAGTTTGTATCCGCTGAATATATAGGTGAGTCATTTAAAACCATCCGACATCTTTGCTTGGGATCCAGATTGACCTGCTACAGAACATAGCATGTCCATCGAAAACTAACGCAGTGTTATTCAGCTGTTATTTACAGTTGAAAATAAGTCATATTACCCATCATGATACTGTCGAAAACCATGACATGCTGATATTGATGTAAATTTTAAAAAATACATTTACAGAACGTACACATAACCTTTCCCGGCCACTGTAGTTTTTTCTATTACTGTTTGACACGTCACATGGAAACGCCTGTATTTTGTATAACATTGAAATCCAAACGCGTAAAACCTTGCCATGTTGCAGAGATAAATATACATATAATATTTATGTTCAAACATGTTTTGTACACTACATTTATTTATATATATAGCAAGACCAAAAAAAAAAAAATAATAATAGTCCTGTTTCCTGCTACCAGCCTGGAAAAAAAAGGGTAGGTAGGTAGAAAATTATTTATATATTTTTTTTATTTTATTTTTTTCCAACTGTATTTTTTGGATATGAATTAATACAAAACCAATTTAAACATCTCATAGGTCAATATTATTTTTAAAAATTAAATTTCATGTCTTTTGATGCACAACTCAAGTGGTATTTTACGAAAGTCCATATTTAAAACATACAATTTCATGAAATACCACTTGAGGATATATTTTTTTCAGTTTTGGAACATGAAATTCCCAAAATTTTTTCCTACACTGAAAAAAAAACTTTAGGGTCGGGTGCAAAAAATTAGGGTCGGTCAGGTAGCAGGAAACAAGACTATTATTTTTTTGGCCTAACAGAATTTGGAAAATGAGAATGCTGAATTTTCAATTTTGCAGGTAGCAAAGCTGACTTTGATCTGAAAGCACACAACATTGATGTGGTATTTGCATCCCCAGAACTCTTAGTCGGAAGTGAAACATGCAGAGAGGCTATACAATCTTTGAATGTGAAAGTCATAGTCATAGATGAATTTCACACCATTGCTACATGGTAAGTAATATGATATAAAAGAAAAACAAAGTTTTTAATAGAGTGTTCTTAATTAAGAAATTATACAAATACTGATTGAGTGAAATGTTAACCATATTTATTACAAGTAAATGGTGAATAAGTATTTAATTTTATGTTGCTGCTTCTATGAATAAGTGACAAGCCACTTACTGATAATATTTATATACAAGTACCGATACTAGTATACCGGTATTACAAATTAAAGTAATAGTGCCCATGCACCGGGGCACATGCCCAATTTAAACTAAGCATTTTAATTCTCTATAATTATATCCATGCTCTGAAGGAGAGGGGGGTATACTGTTTTACCTTGTGTGTCTGTCTGTTTGTGTGTCTGTCCGTAACAAGTTTTTCATCACAGTTTTCTCAGCAAGTACTCATAGATGCTTGAAATTTTAGAACAGTTTTTTTTGTTAAGGCATGCCATATGGTGGGATACATTTTTCTATGAATCAGATGTCAACTTCCTTTTTTAATATCTGTGCATGACTGTCCGTACCATGCACATAACAATTTTTCGTCTCAGTTTTCTCACTTACTAGTAGTGACTATTCAGTCACATTACAGCGGGGGTATTACTAGTGAGTTTTGGCTCAGACTTCTTTATATATATATATATATATATATATATATATATATATATATATATATATATATATATATATATATATTATGTTTCAGGGGTACAGTTGACAAAAAAGAAGAGGAAGCCTTTAGAAGGTGGTTCAGACATATAGGTGAACTTAGATCCTTGTTCCCGACAGCAGCTATGTTGGCATTAAGTGCAACTTGTACACAAAAAATGAAGAAGATTTTGAAAGTGTTGAACATGACAGAATGTCCTAACTTTGTTTCTGTGTCTCCAAATAAAGCAAATATTAAGTACATATTTAAAAAAATTGAACACAATGTGGAGTCATCAATGTTTTGGCTGGTTGAAGGACTTTTGAAATACAAAGAGAAATTTCCAAGGACACTTGTGTATTGTAATTCCATAAAGGATGTTTCTCTCATTTACAATTACATAAGTTCCAGAACTGTCAAGACACATAGAAATGTTCCATTCAGAGACAACTAACGAGACAAAACTTAGAGTAATTCGTCAACTGACTCAAAAAGAAGATTTCATGTTGAGAGTTGTTGTCGCGACAGGTGCCTTGGGAATGGGTGTAGATGTTGTGGAATGTCATAGTGTTGTTTTGTATGGACCCCCACCAACCCTGGTGTACTTGCTCCAAGAATGTGGTCGAGTTGGACGAGATGGTAAAGACTCTGTTGCAGTTATTCTTCATCACTCTTATCAATACCAAAATATGGATGAAGAAGTGAAGACGGTAGTAAAATCAAGCAAATGCAGGAGAATGGCTTACCAGGCTATTATGACAAACTTTGTTTCAACTACTGAACTTACTGTAATTGGTGAATTGGCAAAGCACTCATGTTGTGATTTCTGTAAAAAATGCTGCAACTGTGGCAATTGTAGTAAATTTAAACTGATGTTAGAGAAATGTGTTGAGGAGGACATTGAAGATATCCATTTTGATTCCGACCTCAGTGATGCTGATAGTGATGACACTGTTTTTGATAACACCATTTATCTGTACTACTTTTTAAAAGCCGGGCCCAAATTAACTTCACACCTCTTCAATCAATTTATTTTAATTTTTTTTACACCAACTCTCTTCAATTTCAAAGCTGGGTGTATCTAAAATAAAAATAAGAAGGTACACAGAAACGGAATTTGCAAAATGTAATAAATGAAAGAGAGAGAGAGAGAGTTAACTTACTGGTTTGTTTTCCATTTCATCAGATCTACAAGGAAGAGAGCAAGAATGAAAAAAAAAGTATTTGAAGCGAAAAAAAAGAACATGTATGAAAATGAAATCTGAGTCATGTAAGAAATGTAAGTTTAAAGTTTGAGACAGAATCAGAGAAAGGAAGAGAGAGATAGAGAGAATAAACTTACTGGATCATTTCCCTGTCCTTTTCAATGGATCTACAAGGAAGAAAACAATTATAATAAAAAAATATTATTTCAGAGAATCTTGCATAAAAATAAAACTTGAAACATGTAAGAAATGAAAGTTTTAAAGTTTGTGACAGAGAGAAAGAGAGAGATCTAGTAAGAGAGAGAGAATAAACTCACTGTATCTTTATGAGATCTACAAGGAAGGAAGCAATAAATGGGTGAGGATGTTTGTATGAGTACTTACTCCTTCTCTTTATTTTCATTTTCTTTGACTATAACAGGAGTCGCCCGCGTGGCGCAGTGGTTAGAGCGTCTGCTCTAGAGTCGCGACGTAAGGAATTGATCCTTACGTCGCGGGTTCGAATCCCACTGTGGGACGTGGAGACCGATCCTTCGGATGAGACCGTATAAACCGATGTCGGGTGTCGCTGTAGGTGCTGGCACGAAAAAGATCCCTCACTCCTTAATGGCCGTAAAAGCCGAGTATAGGACAAAATTTGCAGCTCTCCACCGGTAATGGTGGCGTCGCCATTTGAGTGAAGAATTCTCGAGAGGGACGTTAAACAACATACAATCAATCAATCAATATTATACTTAAAGATGGAAAGTAATATAATTTAAAAAAGGAAAAAGAAATTATAAGAAGAGAAACACTAACCCTGGAGTCGCCCGCGTGGCGCAGTGGATAGAGCGTCTGCTCTAGAGTCGCGGCGTAAGGAGTTGATCCTTACGTCGCGGGTTCGAATTCCACTGTGAGATGTGGAGACCGGTCCTTCAGATGAGACCGTATAAACCGAGGTCCCGTGTCGCAGTAGGTGCTGGCACGAAAAAGATCCCTCACTGCTCAATGGCCGTAAGTGCCGAGTATAGGACAAACATGAATTACCAGAAGAAAAGTACAACTATTACAGTACCTCTGAGAAGGTTGTGCCATTTCTCAAAGCTTTGGATGCCATGTCTCCTCTAAAGCCAACGAGTAGTATGTTGAATGATGATTGGACTCCATTTGAACCATCTTATGGAAATCTGCACACCACGGGCAATCAGTATGAATTGAATGATAGCACACAGCAAATTTCTGATGTTCATCCAGTCATGTCAACAACGCCGATTACCAGTGTAGCGTCAACAGCCCCAGAAGTGTCCAATACAGCAAGCACTACTGTGGGGTCAATGGCTCCCGTAGCTGCACACAGCCAGAACAAATCATCTAAGAGAAAGACACGGCACAAATATAGATTTAGATCCACTTCTTCATCGGATATGGGACCGTTGACGGTAGCTCAGTCGGTAGAGCGCTCGCTCCGTGATCAGGAGGTCGTGAGTTCGAATCTCGGCCGCGACTGACATAAGTCGATGAAAAATGGGTAGCAACTGTTCTCCGCCATGCGCTCGGCACTTTGAAGTGAAAGTTGCGGGTCCTTCGGATGAGACCTTAAAAACCGAGGTCCCGTTTATGGCAGACGTTGGCACGATAAAGAACCCTCACTGCTCAATGGCCCTGAGTGCCGAGTAAAGGTCAAACTTTGAAGCCCTTTACCGGTATATGGTGACGTCTGTATATGAGTGATAAATTCTCTAATGGGACATAGAATCAATCAATCATCGCATATGGACACAGCCGAGTTCTACAGTCCCTCAGGCGTCACAAGTGTTAGACTTAGTAATGGTGACCTTGGAGATCACGAAGCAAATGTCCAAATGCACCGAAGATGGCTATCTTCAAAGGAACTGACTAGCCAAGTTTGGAGGCTTTCATCTTGCAATTTGAAAGAACAACCGTTAGACGACAATGGTCCAACAACAGAAAGTTGAGTCAGTTGGTAGACTGTTTACGCGGCTATGTTAAGGCTGTCGGAATGCTTAATATGCATTAGAAATACGCTATTACATGTACATTTTGAGCTAGATTTTTATTTCAATTTGGAATTCATGTATACTTGTGCAGTAAATTTGTGAAGACAGTTTTAAAAGTTATTGAGAAAAGGCATATTTGTGATGTCACATTACTGTGTTAATTAAGTGACGGACATTCATAAATTTTCCTAATTGTTGCACGAAAATACCATCGGCACAAGTGAAAAAACAAAATTATTGAGAACAGTTTGTTACATACGTTAATTAAGCGTATTCCTGGGTATATATAAAGTGCTAGGGGCAAATCTGAGTTTCATTTCTCAAAGGTCATTGTAACAAGATTTACAGAGTTATGCCGCTTGTCATGTGAACTGTATCATTGTCCTTGTAATTGTGACGTCATGCGTTGTGTCTTAAAAGATGGCAACTGTGCACAAGTGTTATTGAGAACCATACATGGTGTCAGAAGAAAAATGGACCGGTTAAACCCTCCAGCCGCACTCAACTTAAGGTCAGACGACACGTTCCTTAATTTGTATCTCTTGGTTATTTGTGATTTCTAAAGTACACTAAAAATTGTGACATTGGCAATTCAAAAGATTACCCCAAAAGGATTATATAAGCAATATCATACTCTGGTATCTTGCCCGATAAGGTACCTCATTTTTTTGCTTCACGTAGCAATACTTCAGTGACAAATTCTTGGGGAAAATTATATATTTTGAGGAAGGTGTCATCTGACCTTAAACGGAAACTTAAAGGAGAATTGGAGGCGATTTAAGCAGCAATTTGACATATATAATATAGCGTCCGGAACGGCGGAGAAAGATGATAAAGTGCAGGCTATGACCTTACTCCACGTGGTTGACGCTGAAGCCATTGAGGTTTATAATACGTTTACCTGGGATGACGAAGATAAAGAAAAAGTCGCGGACATTTGTGAGAAATTCGATGCTTATTTGCAACCCGAGGAAGAACATTACATATGAGCGGCACATGTTCAACACCAGGGTACAGAAAGAAGGTGAGCGCATAGATACATATGTTACTGATCTAAAACAAAGAGCTGCTAGTTGCGAGTTTGAAAATTTGCAAGATTCTCTTATCAGAGATCGGGTCGTATGCGGGATCAAGAGTGACTCTGTAAAAAAGAGACTGTTGAGAGAAGAAAACCTTACATTACAGAGGGCTATAGACATTTGTCGTGCTAATGAAGCCAGTGAATCACAAATTAAAAATATCGCAGATGAGAAAGCTATAAATCACGTGGGCGCGCAAGGAGCACATGGCGGGTTCAGGCGTGGCAGAGGAAATTCGCGTCATAATAACAACAAACTGACACGTGATAGAGACAAAAGCAAACCACGGCAAGGAAAATGTAAGCGCTGTGGAACTTCTCATGCTCGAGGAAACTGTCCAGCGTACGGCGAGGAGTGCAGAAAATGTGGGAAAATGAATCATTTCGAAAAAAAAATGTGTAAAAGTTGGGGAGACCGTGTACACATGCTCCAGCATGAGTCCGATTCGGATGCAGACAGAGATTCACTGTCAGGTGACGAATTCCTAGCATACGGGATCGAGACCACGAACAAGGATAGGGAACAGGACTGGATGGTTCGAATGAAAATCAATGACATTTCCGTTGACTTCAAGATAGATACAGGGGCACAGTGTAATGTGATCACGGAGAAGTAGGAATCAAGGATATTAGCAAATTGAAGTCGCGATTAATCTCATACTCCAAGGATGAAGTCAAAACTATTGACAAGGCTCACGTTGCGTTAGAATACAAACAGAAGTATTATGATGTTGTAGTTCATGTTGTGGATCATGATGTTGTACCTTACTTGGCTTACAAGCTTGTCTGGATTTGAAGCTTGTCCAACGTGTAAATCTGGTCGATGAAAATCAAAGTACTGCGAGTACTGACAGTGTCATCAAGGAATACCAACACTTATTTTCTGGAATCGGATGTTTGCCAGGAGAATATGACATTAAAGTGAATCCAAACGTTACACCTAAAGTTCACCCTCCACGAAGAACTGCACAAGCTTTAACACCGAAAGTCAAGGAAGAGTTAGACAGGATGGTTAGTGAGAAAGTCATCACGAAAGTAGAAAAACCAACAACATGGGTTAATCCGATCGTCATTGTAGAAAAACCCAATGAAAAAGTAAAGAATTTGTTTGGACCCAAGGGACTTGAATCGCGGAATTCAACGGGAACATATCCGCTGAAAACAGTTGAGGAGGTACCGGTAGCCGCAACGCTAAAAGATGCAAAAGTTTTCAGTACTCTTGATGCTGCCTCAGGATTTTGCCAAATCAAGTTGTCAGAGAGGAGCACTTGGGTGACAACATTTAATACTCCTTACGGGCGATACAAGTTTGAACGTCTACCCTTCGGAATTTCTAGTGCGCCGGAAATTTTTCAGAGATCAATATCGCAAATCTTTTCCGACATTGATGGGTGTAGTACTATAGCTGATGACATTTTGATTTATGGACGGAATCAAGAACATGATCAGAGACTTTCAGCTGTGTTAACAAGAGCACAAGAAGTTAACTTGAGGTTCAACAGACAAAAATGTAAACTCAGCCAGAAGTCAAATTCGTAGGTCATGTGTTTGGACCCGATGGATTGAAGCCTTGTCAAAGTAAAGTTCAAGCGATAATTGAGATGAAGAGTCCGGAAAACAAGAAAGACCTACAAAGATTCCTGGGAATGATTAGCTATTTAGGAAAATTCATGCCCAATATGTCAACAGTGAACAGACCATTGCGTCAACTTCTAGAAAAGAATGTTGAATGGCATTGGACACAGACACACCAACAAGCGTTGGAGGAGTTGAAATGTGCAATTACAAGTGCACCTGTTCTCAAATACTATGACGTGTCAGCACCAGTAAAAATTTCAGCAGATGCTTCTTCTGTAGGACTGGGAGCATGTCTTCTACAAGGAAATCAACCGATAGCTTATGCGTCGAGATCCTTAAATTCAGCTGAACAGAACTATGCTCAAATTGAAAAAGAGCTACTCGCTATTGTGTTTGGACTCATTAAATTTCATGATTACGTGTATGGGAAAGTAGTGGACATAGAAACGGACCACAAACCACTGGAAAGTCTTTACAAAAAGCCATTATCCAATGCACCACCGAGGTTGCAGAGAATGATGTTAAGAATCCAGAAATATGACTTGAGAGTAAAGTACTTACCGGGAGAAACACTTTACATTGCCGATACTCTTAGTCGCGCAGCATTAAGAAACGATGAATCAGAAGATGACTTTGAGGTTCATATACTCGAGAACAAACCGATGACATGTGAAAATGTGGAACGTTTCCAGGCTGAAACTGCAAAGGACGAAATACTTGGGAAACTGATGAAAACCGTGATTAATGGTTAGCCAGAATCCAAACAGAAAATTGATCCGGAGTTAAATCTGTATTGGAACTTCAGAGATGAGATCAACATATCTGACGGACTTGTGTTCAAGGGAGATAGAATCATTACTCCATTATCTCTGCGTCATGAAATGCTGAAAAGAATTCATCTAAGCCACATGGGAATTGAAAAAAGCTTAAGCAGAGCACGAGAATTACTTAAATGGCCTGGGATGAGTCAACAAATTAAAGACCTTGTAGAACAGTGTAAAATTTGCAATAAACACAGAAATAAACAGCAGAAACAACCACTCTTACAACATGAAGTGCCTAACCGACCATGGCAAAAATTTGCCACTGATCTCTTCTACTTGAATGGAGACTCTTACCTAGTACTTGTTGACTACTTCTCTAAGTTCTTCGAACTGTCAATGTTACAGGATACCAAAAGTCTGACAGTTATCAAATGTCTCCTGCAAAACTTTGCTAGATATGGAATTCCAGAAAAACTCGTTAGCGACAACGGACCAGAGTATTCAAGCTACGAATTTCAAGCTTTTGCTAGAGACTTCGGTTTCAAGCACATCACATCATCTCCAAGGTACCCCCAGAGCAATGGACTAGCAGAGAGGACCGTACAGACAGCCAAAAAACTTCTGAAAAAGGCCATTGAAGACCATCAAGATCCGTATTTATCTCTTTTAGAGCTTCGCAATACACCACTTCCTGGTGTGGGACTTTCACCTGTGCAACGTCTGATGGGTCGCAGAACCAGATCTTTCATTCCAGCCAAATCGTCAGTCTACACACCCAACAACTTCCCTGGGAAATCCGTCAGGAAAAATCTACCATTTAAACAGCAGAAGCAAAAACACTACTATGATAGAAATACCAAAGAAAGAACACCATTATCAAAAGGAGACGTAATTAGAATTCGTTCACATCAATCATCATCAATTTCATGGAATCCAGGACAAGTCGTCAAACAATGCGAGGAACCAAGATCATACATAGTAAAATCAGGAAACCGCATATTCAGGAGAAATCACAAGGATTTAGTGAAAACAAGGAAAGGAGTGTTCCAGAAAATTCTAGGGAGGAAGAAGACGAAGTAGTGATCATTCCACCAATGCAGGCAGATTCAACGCATACAGATTCGAGGAGTGTTTTCGGTAGTTAAGAGTTCTGTCAGCCAGTAAAGGCAGTGAAAGTGTCAAAATATGTGAAAATAATGAAAATGTGAAAATTTCAAATCCCAAAGTCCGATTCACAAGGTCGGGAAGAGCGTCAGTGTTACCGGCAAGATACCAAACTTAACGCTTGTAATAATTTCATTGTTGTGTTAGTCTACATGTACGGACGTTTCCAAACTCTTTTTTCTGTTTAAAGTTAATTCATGTGTCCAGTGATGTTTTGAAAGGCGGCGGATTTGTTTTAGAAATGTTTTACTGTTATCATGTTATGAGTAACTGAAATACACAGAACTCTAAATTCGGACATTTCAAATTTACAGTATATTTATTTAGCAGTAGGATTCTCTGATTTGTAAAACTGTAAACGCACAAATATCTTAAAAAAGGGAGATGTAGCAAGATTTACAGAGTTATGCCGCTTGTCATGTGAACTGTATTATTGTCCTTGTAACTGTGACGTCATGCGTTGTGTATTAAAGATGGCAACTGTGCACAAGTGTTATTGAGAATCTTACAGTCATAGGAAACGACTAGATGAAATCCCGCGCAAGCGCGGGAAATTCAATTTATACCACTACCGACAGAAAATATATTGTAGTTCTCTACTGACAGCCTATAGGCTTATAGCAGGAACAAATACTTTGTTCAAAATCCCGCATGAAGTAGATTTACCTACCCCCCCCCCCCGTTTTTTTGTGTTTATTTTTTTGTTTTTGATTTTTTAGACTTTAAAAAAAGCAATTTCATTAATTGACGTTTATTGTGAAACCTGTTATACTATGTTATGGATATTGTACTTCAGATGCTCTTATTTCATTTCCGTCAAGGATAAAAGCAACGAATATGCACATTTTACTAATAAATTGATTGGGGGGGGGGGGGTCTTGGGTCTTGGTTTATAAATATGTTTGTACCTTATTGATATGTAAAAGTGTACTTTACTTTTTTACCTATCAATAAGGTACATACATATTTTATAAACCAAGAACCAAGTACCTATGTAAAAATAAGATTTTAATGCCCTATGAATAGGCCGAGTATTTGATACAAAAGACTAAGCTACAGTAATGTAGCCCTCTCTGATTTTTTTTTATCTGATATTTTCTGGCCTCTCTCTCTCTCTCTCTCTCTCTGACCCCACCCCCCACCCCACCCCTCAAAAAAAGGAGAGGGCTACATTATAGCAGCTATAAAAGATTGTATTCAGAAATTAAATGTGTATTGAGTAAAGCGCAAAATTTTACATCTTTAAGTAGTTGAACAATACCTTATTCATTAATATTCTCTTTTCATGTAAGCAAGTTTATTACGAAGTACAAATTGTACTTGGGGTTCGTTGCCACGATGCTCTCAGTAAGGAATATATACAAATTTTACCGATAAATTTATTAGGAAAACCTACTACATACATGTATATGTAATAGTCTTTCGATATATAATTATATTCACAACTTATAGTGTTATCAGTGATTTACCATTATTTCAATTATGACCATTTACACAAAAGGTTTTTTTATGGTCATGTAGCTATAATCGCCTCGTTTTTTTTTTCTTAACATCGGGCTCGATGCTATATGATGTTCTAGAAGCTTCCGTCAATATAAAGATCGGTGAATGACGAAAATATTTTGCACATTTCCCTTTTTAATCGGTTATCACAACTTATTTCTTTTATATCATTTAAATCGAGTTTTGATTGAATAATTCAGTGATGACGTTATATGTAATAAATAAACGATTGCTTGTTGTCAGTTTCATTAAAAACTGCCAGTAACTTAGATCCGCCAACCGGAAACGCCACCGTACTCACGTTTTAGCTATTTCATGGCTGTTTATAGAAAATGAAAGTAGACTTTAAATTTAATGTACGATACTTACTATGCGAGTGAAATCTAAATATAGTTTACGGACATCAGCTTGTATCTAGTGTATTGTTAGAGGAGTAAGTAAGAACTCTGGTGCACCCGTTTCGGAGTTTATTTGCAAAATTTATAAGTATAGATTCTTAATACTAGGATTTCACTTTTTAATTTAGCACCAATTTCAACATCCTAAGTATGGTTTGGAAAATACCTTGGTCCATCCCAACTACTTCCTAAAAGAAATATTGCAAGATGCTGCATCTTCAAAGAATAGTGTGGTTACCCTTTCCCCATCAACTGAGTGAAAAGATTTATAACTTCCAGAAAACTTTTTTTTTATTCATTCTGAAGTTTTATCATCCCATTATAACTTTTTAATTTCAGGTTCGGAAGTGTTTCTGAATTAAAGAAATTTCCCCCCTACTAACCCAATTTTTTATCCTAAGATGGAGAGGGCAAGCAAACATTTTTATTTTAAAGATGACCTGGTTGTTTCTTTGACATTGAATTTGTTGCAGACGAATTGTAATATATTAACCTTTTTATCCCCCTACTTTTTGACCACATCATACATGTAAACCTCATTCATTAAACTATTCATGTCTTCAACAGGGCCACACATTTAATTGCAACAGTTGAAAATGTTGAAACTTCAACATTTACACATTAAATATATCAAAGTTAATGATGAAAAGATATGAAAGATTATTTTTATTCTTTTAATGCAAGAAATACAATATAAACTTGTACAACTGAAACTGAAACTGGCAGTTAAGGTCAGATGACACCTTCCTCGAAAATATATAATTTTCCCCAAGAATTTGTCACTGAAGTATTGCTACGTGAAGAAGTTTCCTCCCAAAAAAATTAGGTACCTTATCGGGCATATTGCTTATATAATCCTTTGGGGTAATCTTTTGAATTGCCAATGTCACAATTTTTAGTGTACTTTAGAAATCACAAATACAAAGAGATACAAATTAAGGAACGTGTCGTCTGACCTTAAGAAAGAGAACTTGCAGTTGCCCCCCCCCCCCCCCCCCCCCCCCAGAAAATCACTATACCATTTCACATTAAAAATAAAATAAAACATTTTTTTAAAAATTAAAAACAAACAAATAAAGATGAAAACTACAATCCAAGGAGCTATACTAGAAAGATACCTATAATTCTATTT